TACAGCCACTCTTCTAGGAGAGACAACTCCTAAATCAAACAACTGCTGTCTTGTAGTTTGTTCTTGGTTGGACGAAGGCTATGGAAGCAAATCCAAAAAGAAAAGCAGGCTGAAATCGGAGTCAATGGCCTCAATGGCGCATAACCAGTTGACACGTAATCCTTAATTGTGATGGGCGTGGTCGAGTCGGCAAAAGCTCAAGGTCGATAAATTCGAAAAAAAAGTCTCGAGTTCAAACCCTCTGGCAGATAAGGCTCGATCCCTTCCAACACTGAAAATTAAGAACGAGGAAGAAAAAGAAATAATCTGTATTGAACATGCAAAACTAACCACTCCGTTGACTAATGTAGTCAATGCTGAGAGCGTGAACTGACCACATTGCTGATTATTGCAGACCTCGTCAGTTTGACCTAGCCACACTGAATGACCTCACGATGGAGGATCTACACAACAGGGAGGAATGTGAGGTCATCTTCAAGCAGATTGACGACACTGTCTTCGTTGGGACCTGGCCGGACTGTACTAGGGTGGATGAATATGGGGTAATAAGTCAGATTTGTTGTAGTGTTAGGGGGGGATTGGCGTAGTCGGGCATGTAAACTTAAAGATAGCTTGTCAAAAATATAGAACCCCCAGGCTGAATAGGTAGTTGAGGATAGCTAGACATCTAGGAGAGAAAACAGTACTATCTGATGTCTTGTAGCTTGTCCTTGATATTCTTCAAATCTATAATAATAGTTTCGCTGTCTGTCTATCTATCTATCTGTCTATGTATCTGACAAGAACGCTCAAGAGAAAACACAAGCAAATTAAAAACATGCACAGTCAGACGAAAACGAAGTATGACGTCATATAGTAAAAAATAATCTCAAGCCGGAGAGCGCACACAGTAATATGACGTCATTGATTCTCGAGTAAACAATTAATAAAAAGTCAATTTTGTCTAATCTAAATGATTTGCGTGAAGAGTTTCTTTCATACAATTCTTCGGGTAGGGGCGAAGCCCCACCCCCAGCGTAAGAACGTCTGAGCCCCCCCCCCCCCCTCCCCAGCTCAAAAGAAATTTCTTCATCGATACTCTATAATAAAATTACCGCCTAATTAATGTGTCTAATCTAAAAAGTGGTTTTCTTGCAATTTCTTTAATGCAATTCTTCGGGTAGTGGCTAAGCGCGACACCAGTGTTTCTTTCAGACTTTCCGGTCTTCCGGTAGGGGCGAAGCCCCGCCCAGATTCTTCCTTTAGTTTGTATAATCTACAAATGCGAACAGTGTTTCTTTCAGACTTTTTCCTCCCCGGAGAGGGGTGGGGGTACTTGAAATTTTCGGGGGCGGGGGTAGAATTTTCTGGGAGAGGGCGGACACTGGAAAAATTATATAATTATATTTCGTTGAATGGGACGGTAGACATGTTTTGGGGGGTGTGTGGGGGGGGCGGAGCCCCCTCCTCCCAATTAGAGTTGCCTGAAAGAAACTCTAAATGCGACTTTTGTCATGAATGAGATTAGGTGCATGGTTTAGGGATATGCCTATGACTATATTTTGTATAAATTAAAGTACCGAGAAAATAGACAGCACTATCAACCTAGCGCCCGTTGTATCCTTCCTCAACAGGCCATTTTTCTCGTACAAAAAGAAAAGCGGAATGAAATTGAAATCATCGGGCAATAATGGATCGTAAAATTTTGGTGCGTAATACTTAATTGTGTTGGAGCGAATCTTGTAAAACATTTCAATTGAGATCGGAGAAGGACTCCTTGGGTAATAAGTTAGACCTATTGTAGTTTATTTATTTGGGCAACCTGACTGGAATTAAACAAACAGAATGAGGTAATTACTCCGGTTAGTGATGTGAATAATAATTCTTTGTTCTTGGTCGGATAGAAATCGTATAGGCGAGTAGACTAATGGGTAATTACTCAGACTCGTCGCAACATCGTGAAAGATTTTATAGGGGTCTTAATCTAAATGTAATGGCAGAGAATGTGTCATTAAATCAGTATAGATAAACAGTGACGACTTTTTAAAAAAAAATTACTTACAAAGCAGTTACGGTAAACTACTCTTTAAAGCCCGATTGTTCACAAAGTAGTTGAAATAGAGTTGAACTATGTCGGTGAAAACGGATAGTGTGGTCAGCCGCCACGCTCTCACGAACTTAAGTCAGGACCTGACTAGAGCTGGGTGGACTCAGGTACTTCAGACTTAACCGCGGCACGACTATCTTGTTAGAAGTCGTATACTTTACCCACCAACCCATACAAATCCGAATTGTTTCGTTATCCCCCCCCCCTACCCACTGCCTACCCTGTTCCACTGTTTTTGCAAAGTTGTTGTGTTTATGAACATCAGTTTTTCATTAAAATTATAATATGAGGAGCGTAGTCAAATGCTGATATATGATGATGGGTACAAAACTTTACCCCATATATATATATATATATATACATATATATATATATATATATATATATATATATATATATATATATATATATATATATATATATATATATATATATATATATATATATATATATATATAATGTATACATAAATAAAAAATATGTATATATATATATATATATATATATATATATATATATATATATATATATATATATATATATATATATATATATATATATATGTACATAAATATAATATATCCATAAGTATATTTATTTATTTTCCTCAAAAATGAAGTAAGAAAGTAACAGTGACTTTATAACATTTGACATACGGTTGTACTTGCCATAGGAACGCCCTAAGTACGCATTTACTTTCTCCTGCAACACGTTCGCCACGCTGATCTATTGGCGGGAGTCACGTGAACATGACAACGTGGTACCATATGACCACAAGAGGTTGGAATGGTAGGTAGCTCTTTACGTCATAGTCCTCGCCATTTTAGGCAAAGTGTCAATTAATGCTATATATATATATATATATATATATATATATATATATATATATATATATATATATATATATATATATATATATATATATATATATATATATATATATATATATATATATATATATATATACGTATACATATATATATATATATATATATATATATATATATATATATATATCATATATCCATATATATATATATATATATATATATATATATATATATATATATATATATATATATATATATATATATATATATATATATCATATATCCAGGTTTCCATTGCTGCCCTACATGACGAGAGGAGCTGTAAACTTTCAGCCACCATGTAAATTTTAGTGACGTCATTATCGACCCTTTGACGTGATGTAATCACTGGCAATAAAAAAAACAAGAATAAAAACAAATGTTCAAAAGTTTGCTTATGTTTTTTTTTTTCATTTGAATTTGATTAGCAAAAACTAAAAACTGTAGCAAGTCCTCCATGAACATAAGTATCCGGTTACATAGTGGTATAGCAGATTGAGATTAGAATTGCGACACCTCTAATAGGTTAAGCCGTAAGGTTGTTTGACTAGCCATAAAAGTAAAAAGTAAAGTTTCCCTTTCAAACCTGACGGTCTATTGACTAGCCATAATGAGCCATTATCATCGTATCATGTTTGTGCACATATGACGGATGAAGTAGAGTTCCTCTGTTTCAGCCGCCTTTTCATTCCGTAATGTAAGTCAGGTACCCATCAAAGCTGATTGTACTCAGAAACGTGGTACGGACTCGCGCCTGGGATTCGAACCTAAGATTTTTGTATTAGCAGTCGTTAGCTCAACTCTTCGAAACGACCATCTAGAATAGCTTCTGGGCCTGAATAAAATAACAGTTTAGTGCAATGTGTTAGAGGATTATAGAGTTGTACACTTGATATACTTATCACTATCTTCGGAGGTTCTACACAACGGCGTATCATACGTATCAAATTATCTGCCCCTAATAGCCGTCACTAAAACCGGCTCTACGATTGTAAAAATTTAGCGTGAACCACAGCTCACCAGACCATGTAGGGGTGGGGGTGATAGGGAGCGCGCTTACAGCATGGTGTTTTCTATCGTCTCCAAGAAGAGAATTATATATATAGATTGTTACATTGTGTCAAAAAAAAAACGTATCCAGCAGACGTAATTATGTAAGTTCTGCATTCTATAAATACCTGTCTACGCCTATTGAGTTGAGTCATGTCTGGATTTCGCTACCATTCACGTCAGTTGCTTGTGTCACGTCAGTTGCATGTGTCACGTCAGTTACTCGACGTGTTATTATGTCTTCTATGTGTCATCGATCACACAGGTGTACTAAATATGCTACCTTTTTAAAGGTGTCGAGTTCAGCATACTTTTATTTAGATAGATAGAGGGTGTAAAAGTTGATTGATAGCTGTCGAATGGCGTATTGATTGTGGTTGTATTGTGTGTTGGGTGCTGAGGTAATCAGCCGTGTAGTCAGGCCTCTACTGATAAGTTTAGGTGTGTCATTGGTAGTGTCTGTTGGCTTATGTAGTAGCCTTCATTTGTAAACCGTAACACAGTGAAATCGCTTACTCTGTCTTTTACATGCACACACACAGTTTTTCTTCCAGACTTTTTTCTCCGGGGGGGGGGGGGCGGTAGACATTCTTCGGGGGGGGGGGGCGGACACTGTTAAAAGTATATATTTTCTATATAAATTATATAAATTTAATTTCGTTCGGGGGCGGGGGGGGGGGCGGTAAAAAAAATTCGGGGGCTCCCCGAAGAGATTCCTGGAAGAAACTCTGCACACACACACATACTCGCACGCACGCACACAGACTCGTAGATACACACGCACACATAGAGACACGAATACACACACATACGCACACACAAGCTCACACATACAGACACAGATACACACGCACGAACGCCGACAAACACGTACATGCACACACATACACAGATACACATACACAAGCACACATAAACACAGACACAGATACACACACGCACGCACACGCAGACACAGCATTTATATACACTCAATACAAGGCGCTAACAATTACAAGTGGAAATCACTTTTAATTTTTAATAAAAAGATACACATCTAAAGGTAATGCGACAAAATAATCTGAAGCACAATGGTAGTAAATTAAAAATTAAAAAAAAATTCTAAATACTAGTTTTTTTTTAAATAGAACGCGGTCCTAAATTTACAATATGTTTTTGTATACTCTCATCCTAGTTCGGTTTCGAAAGAAAAAAAAACATCGTTTACTAATAAAAATACTAATGCAGAAATTCGACAGATACGATTCTTATAGTTATAGTTATATTCACATTACTGCAACAGAAATAGATTTCTCTAAACAGGTAACTTCAAGTGAGAAACAACAGCTAAATATAACATTTAAACAGTAAAAATCAATAAACATGTACTAGGGGATTGAAAACCACATTTATACCAACTAGCCATTTATGTAAATTTAGGCCTAGTTATTACTCATATAAAAACTTTTTTACTGCTACGAAAAAAGTTTAATGAATACACATTCTTATAAAATGATTGTCTCTTTTGAAATTACAAACTTACTGTTATTAAAGCTGTTCTAACTACTTTTTAAAATCTCATGCGATCAGTTGTTTGTGCATTAGCGGGATTAGCCCAAGGTAAAGTGGCAATGTGTAGCCACACTTATTTTTTCTCCCAATCTTGGTTCTGCCAACCCTTTCCTTGCCAACCCTGTCCCTGCCAATCTTTACCCTGCCAACCCTGTCCCTGCCAATCTTTACCCTGCCAATCTGTCCCCTGCCAACCCTGTCCCTGCCAATCTTTTCCTTGCCAATCTTTACCCTGCCAATCTGTCCCCCTGCCAACCCTGTCCCTGCCAATCTTTCCCCTGCCAACCCTGTCCCTGCCCATCTTTACCCTGCCAACCCTGTCCCTGCCAATTTTTTCCCTGCCAACCCTGTCCCTGCCAATCTTTCCCCTGCCAATCTTTACCCTGCCAATCTTTACCCTGCCAACCCTGTCCCTGCCCATCTTTACCCTGCCAGTTCTGTCCCTGCCAACCCTGTCCCTGCCCATCTTTCCCCTGCCAACCCTGTCCCTGCCAATCTTTCCCCTGCCAATCTTTACCCTGCCAACCCTGTCCCTGCCCATCTTTACCCTGCCAACCCTGTCCCTGCCAATCTTTACCTTGCCAATCTTTACTCTGCCAATCTTTACCCTGCCAATCTTTACCCTGCCAACCCTGCCAACCCTGTCCCTGCTTATTCCAACCTAGCCATAAACGTAGTGCAGCCACCTTGGACCACACATCTCCCCACTTTTTGTCACCTTCCTCTGACGTCTCCTCCTCCTCAGTTTCATCGTCGTACACCTCCATGTTGTCAGTCGTCTTCTGCGATTCCCCCTCCACATCTGTCACGTCATCGTACACCTCAGTGGTGAGAGTGGTCCCATCGGGGGTGCGAGTGGTCCCATCGGGGGTGCGAGTGGTCCCCTCAGCTTTCTCCACTGGGCCCTGAGGTGCCACTGTCGTCTCTGTTGTAAAAAAATAAAAAGAAAATAGTTTAGGTACTGCTTGAAAAAAAATTATTTGATACAAAAATTATCTATATAAAAAAATAATTAAAAAAAACAACTATGAAAATATAAATCAAGAAATAAATAAACGGTAGGTTTATGTTGTATGTAAAATATCTTTTTACCTGTTAACTTTTCGTCTTTAATGGCGGCTGTTTTAAAAAATAAAATGTATAAATTAAGGTATTAATAGTCAAACTATTGATGAAATGTAAATAGAAACATACGTATTATTTAAACGTATTTACCAACATTTCCTCTTTAGGACTTAATAAGAAATAAATTACAAAAATAAATAAAATAATAACAATGTTAAACTAAACGAAATGTTAAAAAAACGGTTGTATATCTAGTTGCAAAAAAATATTTAACAGGCCTACTATTAGGAGACACGTATAAGAAAAAAGAAACGCTTCAAATTTTAAACTAAAGCGTCACTCTACTTTTGATAAGTAACATGAAATCCGATTTATTGATACATGCACGTGCTAAATAAAGAGCAAGAAAAGTCTTTTTTTTTTTTAAAATGGAAACGAATGAATATCTCAGGTACCAGAGAACTCTTGACACGTCAGGTATAAAAATGTGAGCACTGTCTAATAGAATTGGACAACAATCGGCAGTGGCGTAGGTAAGGGGGGGGGGGTGTTAGGGTGTTATAACCCCTCCCATGGACCCCTATATATATATATATATATATATATATATATATATATATATATATATATATATATATATATATATATATATATATATATATATATATATATACATATATATATTTATTTATATATATATATATATATATATATATATATATATATATATATATATATATAAGATAATATACGTATGGAAACATTTTTGAACCCCTCCCACGACCAATTCCTGGCTACGCCACTGACAATCGGTCCACTCACCTCCTGCAGCCAAGGTAACCATGGTTACCAGCACCGCGATCTGCAGCTGCATGATGTCAGCTGACCAGCTTGGTGTAGTGAGATGGTGAAGAAAATGTTTTCTTTGCTTGTTGCTGCCGCAAGGATTCTCTTCTAGGGTGTTCGCCCCTGCTGTCCTTACTGTCTCTGTATGAGATTTTCAAATAAAATGCTGGTTATGTGATGCCAAAACTAAAACGAGCATGGTGAAATAACACTCGGGTAAACGAAACTTGTGAGTATTCGAAAAAGTTTTGCTAAAAATCAGATCCTTTTAACATGGTTTAAAATCATGATATGTGACTGTTTTTGGCCATGGTGTAGAGCTTAAGATTAAGTTGAGGTCTACGGTTCGCATCTAGGAGTTCCTAGCCCGTACTTCGTCGCTGGCAAAATCACGAATGTAAATCTCATTAAGAAATGACGTCACCTTGAATGTAACTTTAGGAGGGGGGGGGGGGCGCTAAGATATTATGACGTCAGACTTTTGTATTTAAAAAAAGGTTCTGTTAGAAACATAATTGTAGCTATTATTTCGCGCTTTTAAAAACTTTTTTGTAAATTGTAATAGGAGTTCCTAGCCCGTAGTACATCGCTGGCTAAATCAGGAATGTAAAGCTCATCACACCGTTTGTAAAAAAAAAAACATGAACACATGGTCTAAGACCAAAAAAATTTGCTGCAAAATAGTACTTTTTTTCTTAATTATAAATTTTATAATGATATTTAGACATAAATATATCCTCTGTACCATGCTACTGAAAGACTAAAGTAATATCGTTTTGTTTGTTTTTTATTTCAATAATTAACACTTAATAAGTACCTTGACTTGTCTGTAGACTGAAGCGTAGCTTTGATTCAATTCAATGAAGTCGGTAGCGCTTTGTTTATAGATAAAGAATTCTGTAAAATTGCAATCAAACTAACAAGTATACCCGAATCTGACGTCCTAGAGTCGATTAACCTAAAGCTTCGAGGTGACCGACTTATATAACCCGAGGTGCACATTTTTTTATCTATTCCGTGCTGACATCGGAGTTTCTTCCGCCCCCCCCCCCCCCCCGAAGAATGTCTACCGCCCCACCCCCCACCCCCCCCCCCCCCCCCAAATGAAATGAAATTTATATAGAAAATATATAGTTTTAAGAGTGTCCTCGCCCCTCCCCCCTCGTAAATTTTAGTCCGCTCACCTCCCCCCGAAAATGTCAAGTGCCCCCACGGAGAAAAAAACCTGGAAGAAACACTGGCTGACGTAATCACGAAAATAAGGAATCTTTTCTTGAAAAAAAGTAATTTGTAATTTCTTTGAATAAAGGAATGTGTATTCTTCGCAAACCTCGTCATTTGAATTATATTATGCAAAATTTTCCTGAAAAAAATAAAGAATTTTTTTATTGCTATATTGGGAGAATGTTTATTCTATTGATTTTATACATCTATTTTTGATTATATTACATACAAGTAGACGAACGAGGCGCTGACGCAATGTTTATGACTGGCTTACCTTTGGCACCAGACAAAAGATAAATTTGTTAGCTGTTTTGTTTTTGAGGTTGTGGTGGAGGGGGTAGGCTTAAAGTGGTTAGAGGCTTTTGTTTCTGTGAAAATGTGTTGTCAGACTAGGTGAAGTTTGACAGCCTATGTGTCAGGGGCGTCACAAGAGTCAACGACAGCCCAGGCGTCAGGGGCGTCACAAGAGTCACCGACAGCCCAGGTATCAGTGGCGTCATAAGAGTCGACAGCCCAGGTGTCAGGGGCGTCATAAGAGTCGAGAGCCCAGGTGTCAGGGGCGTCACAAGAGTCAACCACAGCCCAGGTGTCAGGGGCGTCACAAGAGTCAACGAAAGCCCAGGTGTCAGGGGCGTCACAAGAGTCAACGAAAGAATGTTAGGTCATTATGTAATGTTTCTTTTAATGTAATGTACTGTAATAGTATAAAGTTGTTTAAAACAAATGTAGTATCATAGTATAAAGTGCTCTTTAAAACAAATATAGTACCATAGTATAAAGTGCTCTTTAAAACAAAAGTAGACCACAGTATAAACTGCTCTTTAAAACAAATATAGTACCATAGTATAAAGTGCTCTTTAAAACAAAAGTAGTACCGTAGTATAAACTGCTCTTTAAAACAAATGTAATACCATAGTATAAAGTGCTCTTTAAAACAAAAGTAGTACTATAGTGTAAACTGCTTTTTAAAACAAATGTAATACCATAGTATAAAGTGCTCAAAAGTAGTATTATAGTCTTAAGTGCTCTTTAAAACAATAGTAGTAACAGCTGGGATACTCTGGGGCGCCTATTCGTAATCTACTGCAGGGCGCCACCCTAAAGACAGAAACCTTCCCAGGATTCATAGCTTCTTTCTGGCATCTCTTCGGTAGAGGGGGTGGGGCACTGCTCTTCTTGTGTGGGAGTGAGGTAGAAAATTTTCCAGTCAGTTCAGTTGTAACTATGTATATACATCTATAAGTTCCGGATGCAACAAAGAGTCAAAGTTCAACTTGTAGCTTAACAAAAGAAAACATTGCAGCAGTCACAGAAAAACACGTTTGGCGGCTGTAAGGTGTCAGCCAGGTATCGCCTATCTACGCCTCTATTTATAGGTTAATCCCCTCAATAGCTTGCCCGAGAAAACATATTTATTAAGAAAATGGGAATGTGCTGCGAAACAGGCTCAGACTGGTTCCCTGTACCCAAGCATGCCGATTTCTGTAAACTATGGAAACACATGGGATCTTTTACAGATTTTAAAATATTTTCTACAACATCGAAAAAATTTAATTTCCATGTTCTTTTAACATTATGTATGTATAACAAATATTAAAATTCCAATGTGAAAGTTTAAATTTTTCGAAGTAGGAAAAGTCTCCCCATTTTCCGTGTGGACCTTGTGCCCTGCTTATGCTAGCTTTACGGTACCTATGCCGTTGGAGTATTTAAATAAACAACTAAGTGTTCAGAATATTTTATTTTTAATGTATGGAAATCGTAGAATGACAAAATCTTATAAACTTTAAATAAACAATAACATGTTCTAATTCTCCTTTAAGCAAGAACTCTAATTCAGTAGGCATTAATTTCAAAGATGATAGTTGGTGATCGTTTATCTGCAAAAAACAAACACAAATTAAGAATCTAGCTAAGCTGCGCTCATGTTTAAATTAAATACATTCCTAGAAGTTATAGAGCATTCCTGTTATCAAAGAAACATTGTAGAGAACATCATATTTATTTTTATCTTCCCTACAAATAACTTCTGAGATTATAATGGTGTTTATTGGGAAAATAAATCAGCCAGAAATAGAATTCCCGAAGTTACTTTTTAAAGCTACGTTTGCTAAGACGAATAAACTAATAATAGTATTCTTTTGTCAGCGTTATGGAAAGACACGAAAACGAATAAGTGCGACAGATTAGAGGATTGGTTTATGAGCAGCCTAGTGTCGTAAATGTCAGTTGTTTGATGCCTAAATCTAATGTTAAACACCAATGTCAGCTTTTTTTTGCGATTTCCAGTTCTAATGTTTGACGCTCTTTTTAGTTTTTGAGAGATGTCTTACATCAATGTCAAGTTTTGAGCGATTCATAACTCTAATGTCTGACATAAAACACAGGTTTTTGATTGATGCTTAACTCTAATGGATTACAATTATGTCAGTTTTTGATTGGTGTCTAGCTTTGACATAAATGCCAGATTTTGTTTGATGTCTAGCTCTATGTGATGCTAGTTCAGGGTAGAAGCTAAGTAGATGGTAGAAACAGACTGTAGCTTAGTTAGTTAAACAGACCAATGGATATAAAGAAGCTGGCCGATCACGTGGGACGGTCAGCTGACCACTGAGGCGTGGGTCGGAGACGGTGGGTATCCTGACAAAAGGCCGACATGGACTAAAGGCCGACAAGATAAAAGGCCGACAAGACAAAAGACCGAAAGACAAAAGGCCGAAAGACAAAAGGCCGAAAGACAATAGGCCGACAAGACACTTTCTCGCTTTATGCCTAGGTCAAAAAAACAGGTCAACTTGGCTCTTGGACAATAAAGTTTGAAAAGGGAGCTTTACTTGTTACGTGTGGAGATCATATATTTTAATAAGCCTTATATATGTAGATCTTGTATTTTAATCAGCCTTATGTGTGCAGAGCGCATGATTTAAACAATCTTATAGGTGTATATCATATTTGTTATACAGCCTTATGTGTGTAGATCATATTTGTTATACAGCCTTATGTGTGTAGATCATATTTTTTACAGACTTATATGTGAAGAGTATATTTTAAACAGCGTTATACGTGTAGATCATATGGTTTAAACAGCTCGTATTCTTATCATTTAAAATCATGTTCCATAACAATATTTTTAGAACCACTTTCCGTTTTTATCTTCCAACAACTACCACGGGTATCTTATTATCTTGTATTGTCTGTTTATAAAAAAAAACTCCAGACTTCAAACCGTACCTGCTAATTTATTCACGCCACGTGATTATAATCACCACCTTGACCAATAATACAAATATTAATTTTACAAACTAGCTCAATGAGTAAAGTTTTGTGTGGCGAAAAAATAATTAGAGTGATTTTGACTTGAGAGTTATAGTTAGGAGGGGAGATTTACGCTTTAAATGTGTAAGGAGCGTGGGAATATTGAATCTAGATCTATATAGCTGTAATTTTGTTAGACACATTTTCATTTGCTGGGGTAAAGACGAGGAGTACTAACTAAAGGTAATATACATAGAATGTTTGGTTCTGATTTTGTCGTTACCATAATGTCACGTTACGTTTGTTTAGTTCTGATTTTATTATCACTGCAATGATTTAATACTTTTGTGTATATATTCTGATTTTTTTTTGTATGACAAATAGCTTCTGATTTCTGTGTCGATTTGAATGCGTTTTTCCCTAATGACAAGGTTCGATAGCTGGGGCAGTAACTCTCGGGTCGGCTCGTAAATTATATTGTGACAGGTCTGATTGCTGCGCTGCCACTCCAAGCGAGGTCGGGTGTCACCCGATGCGGCACTTAATGGTGTCACTTCCCCAGAGGCGTAGCGACCCTTCTCGGGGACAAACTTTCAAGTTTTCGATTTGCATCCCCCCCTCAAACTTTCGATTTGCAACTCCCCTCAAGTTTTCGATTTGCACCCAACCCCCTCAAGTTTTCGATTTGCAACCCCCCCCCCCCCCCCTCATGTTTTTCTCTATATATTTTGATATTTTTTGCCTTGGTGTCACCCCCCTAAATGGTATCACCCGGTGCGGTCCGCACCCCCGCCCCCCCCCCCTCGCTACGCCCCTGACTCCAAGTACGTAGTTTACAGCCGTATCAATATAATAAAGATCATGGCTGACGGGCCAGAAGATCACGTGACTGAAAGATTTACGGCAGCAAATAAATTTCAGAACGGTTCAATGTTTACGAATTGATTCTATGCCCTCAGTTTACGACCTGTAATAAAATTAGGCTCATATATTCTACTTATTTAACACTAGGTTAACTGCTACATGTGAATTTATCACACATAGAGATTCCTGGTCATTTAGGTAATAATTTATGAGTTACAGTGAATATAATAATGATAACTAAGTACGAGCCAAGGAGGGAAAAACCAGATTATCTCTTGGAACTCGAGGAGCGCTGGCACAAGGGACGCAACCACAGATAGACCCACAGTAGAAAGTCAAGTAGTTAGCGATGTTGTTTATTACCGCCCCTAATACGAACATGAGCCTTTCTGACTAAGGGATTGGTCACTATATCAACTCCACCCCAACTGGACAGTCTAACGGCCGGATCAGAGATCGCTGTCAGCATCCCTGTATATAGGTGATTAAGGGTGGGGTAGCAATAGCGCAGATACCGTGACGTAACTGATCAGCCTGTGGCCCGTGGACATTAAAAAAACTGGGGGCCCTTATCACAGGGGGGTCCGCAGGTTCTTAGGATAGGGGAGTGGTGCAAGTCCAG